TTTTCAATTTCTAAGGCTACATATCCTGGTAACTTTCTGTCTGCAAGCCAAGTGATTCCTGTACTGACAAGAAGGCATACTCGGTGAAAAGTGTGACACATAGAGAGTGCCTATTCACTGAGCAAAGTGGATATGTGGTCACAGAATTCAAAGAAGTAAATGAGTGGGTATTGTCCACAAACAACTTTAAGATCATTCAGATTGAATTTTCGAGTAGGGGCTAGAAAATAAATAACAATGTAAAAATGAAAATATGAATTTACATTACAGGAAAACAAATGAAAAACACTTGTATCAAGCACTACCACCTTTTTAGATCTTGCTGCTGAATTTGGGTCCCCCTTTAGTTCTGCACGGCCAGCGTCTCATTTTAATACGCATTTTCCCACACCAGCTTATCATCCAGAGACAGAAACCAGTCCCATGAGCATTGGTTTGTGTTATTGTTGATGAGGGGGAGGTTTTTTAGAACTTGGATAGGGTAAGGGGGGTATAAGATGCCCAAGGGCAACCGATATCGAGGACAACTTCCTGAACTATTTCACAAGCTTCTCTTTTCAGCAACACAGTCTCTAGTGGAGTGCTAGCCAGCAGCTCCAGTTGTACCACCCCAGACCCTAGATGAACTCCTCTTCACCCAGCAATCTGGAGATTTTTTTTTTTCTTCCTAAGCAAGGGATCTGTTTCTTGTTCCTTTAAATAAGGTGCACAGTCACTAGCAGGGGCTAATCTGGTTTTCCACCAGATTGATCCTTTCCCTATCCCCCCAGGGGTTGCAGGTGTACTCACTCAGATCCTCTCCTTTACCGCTTGCAGGATGGATGCTGTCAGGAATGGACTGGGCCAAGCAATAGTGGGACTCAGCTGCCTTATGAGCTGCAGTAAACCAGGGCTGGCCAGCGAGGGTGCTCCCAGCAATCAGGTAAGACTCAACCTTGCAGCCAGTCAAACCCACCTGAACACTAATTATACCCTGTGATTTAAGGGGGACATTCAGACCTGCAGACTCTGCCTTGGTGTTGTGTTTCTCTTGGGCCCTGTATCCTGTTCCTGCTCTCTGTTTCCTGTCTGATTCTCTGCTGACCCTGCTCTGATCCCTGGCTTGTCTGACCATTCTCCTCTGCCTGACCCTCTGTACCAACGCTGCCCACTACCTGCTGAACCTGGCCTGTGACCCCCGACCATAATCTCCGCTTGCTCCCCCCTGTACCTACCTGACCCGACTGATATTGACCCAGGCCTGCCTGACGACGCATTTTGCATTGTATGTACTGTTATCTGTGGTGTTGGTTGGTTTTGTTTGCACTGTGTTAATGTTTAGTATTGCAAACTAGCGTTTATGTTTGTATGTTAGTGTTAATAAAATTACATTGTTTATAACATATATCTGAAGTCTGCGTTTCCCTGCGTCAGTGCGTCACACACCTCTGGTCATAAACCCGGGACCCTGATCCCTGACATTACACCAAGGCCAATCCTGACCAGAAGTGGCTGCACAGGGAAGCCATCTTGGCTTGTTGAGGGAAGGATGGATCTGGATGAGGTTGCGTATTTATCTCTGCTAGTGTTTGATGACAGGGAGTGATGCTTATCAAACTCTGAAGGAGTATAACCCGGGATGAACTGCTAGAATGTATACGGCTCGCTCATGTGTCTAGTAGAATCAGGCACAGAGTTCTCTGAGGTGCAGCCCTTTTCCCTTTGATTGAGGTTTGTGCTGAGATTGGTTTTTCAAATCTGGTACCCCCGAATGGGGACAGGGAATGGGGGGGGGGGGAAATGAATTTTTGCCACCATTTAGTGCAGGACCAGTAGAGTCCCCTGGTGTGGTTATTAGAGATGATGTGGATTACTTTCTGGAGCGTTATTCCACATGTTTTCACACACAGACACTAAGAGATTGTATAAACGCAGTGCAGTCATTGACCAGAAACAGGCTTTGTGTAAGCTCAGTGCTTTGTTCAACCCAGTGGGTGTACTGCAGATTGGACAGACTCTTTGGCAACCAGCATCTAGTTTCAACCCATACTGCAGACTAATGGACAGACTTGTTTCTCACCCACCCGCCTCATTCAGCTTACAAAAATGCTTCCCCCAGTCCTGCTTCTAATCTATTTCCACAAAACTCTATTCCATCCTGCATTCCCAACAGCTCCTCCTGCCTGCTATCTACCGCATGTCAGTACCACTGTTCCCACTCGCTGCACCTATCCTGCCTTTTAAACCCTGTAAAAAAGCCCTCTGTAGCAACTGCTCCCTATCCTCTGTTCCATCCTCCCAGCTCTTCTCTGTCTCCAGCTGCTCCATTCGTTTTGCAGACCTGCGTTTACTTGCAGTGCCCAGTTAGGTTAAAACCAAAAAAAAGCGAAAATTCTTCCATCCAATACCATCCTGCCAGTATCCAAAAACCGGTGAACCTAGCCGTCTGAGAAACCTGCCTTCCGTGGTTCAGACCTGAAGCCTCTACTCAGCCCTGAAGCCTCTACTCAGCCTGAATTCCTCTACTCAGCTGAATCCTCTACTCAGCCTGATGCCTTGACTCAGCCTGATGCCTGTACTCAGCCTGATGCCTGTACGCAGCCTGATTGCCTCTACTCGGCCTGATGCCTGTAAACGCAGCCTGAATGCCTCTCTTCTGGCCTGAAGCCTCTACTCGGACGCCTGAAGCCTCCCCCCCCTAAAGCCTCGGACTGATGGCTTACTCGGCCTGATGCCTCTACTCACATGAAGCCTCTACTCAGCCGGACGCCGGCATCCAGCCTGATGCATCCTCTACCCAGCATGGTGAAACTGATCCAGCCTGACGATCCTATTAGAGCCAGTTGAACTCGATGCCCGCTGTTGATCCAGAATGATCCGGTACCTGATCCGGTGCCCGCTAACTGTCGTGCCAATTGACTCAGAGCCCGCTGTCGTACCTGTGACTCAGTGCCCACTGCCTTGCCAGATACGCGGTGCACGCTGGCGAGCCAAATGACCTATGCCTGGTGACCCAGTGCCCGCTGTCATAACCTGGTGACCCGATGCCCGCTGTCGAGCCAGACGATCCAATGCCTGGTGACACCGGTGCCCCACTGCCTTGCCAGATGACACGCGGTGCCCGCTGCAAAGCCAAATGACCTGATGCCTGGTGACCCAGTGCCCGCTGTCCATACCTGGTGACCCGATGGCCCGCTGTTCGAGCCAGACGAATCCAATGCCTGGTGACCCGTGCCCACTGCCAATTGCCAGATGACGCGGTGCCCAGCTGGCAAGCCAAATTGACCTGATGCCTAGTGACGCCAGTGGCCCGCTGTCATACCTGGTGACCTGATGCCCGCTGTCGAGCCAGACAATCCGTACCTGATGACCCGTGCCCACTGTCGTGTGCCTGTTGAACTTTCGGAGCCCCCTGCCTTGCCAGATGACGCGGTGCCCCGCTGTCGAGCCAACATGACCTGATGCCTGGTGACACCATGTCCCGCTGTCCAGCCAGACGATTCAATGTCTGCCCCAGTGCCCGCGGTCATGCCAGTTGACTCGAGCCCACTGCCTTGCCAGATGACGCGGTGCCCGCTGTCGAGCCAAATGACCTGATGCCTGGTGACCCGATGGCCCGCTGTCCAGCCAGAACGATCCAATGTCTGACCCAGTGCCAGCGGTTCATGCCAGTTGACTCGGAGCCCACTGTCGTGCCTGGTGACTCGGTGCCCCGCCGCTTCGCCTGGGGGCCCGAGACCTGTCGCTCCGCCCGGGGGGCCCGCTGCCCCCGCCGCTCCACCTGGGGTCCGGCGCCCCGCCGCCCCGCCTGGGGGCCTGAGACCTATTCGCTGAGCCGCCTGAGGGCCCGAGACCTGTCGCTCCGTCTGGGGGTCCTGCACCCCGCCGCTCCGCCACTGAGGGCCCGAGACCTGTCGCTTCCGCCTGGGGGTCCGGCGCCCGCCGCTGACTCACGCCTGAGGGCCCGAGACCTGTCGCTCCGCCTGGGGGCCCGAGAACTAACCCTGTCCGCTCAGCGCCTGGGGGCCCGAGACCTGTCGCTCCCGCCTGGGGGCCCACGAGACCCTGTCGCTCCGCCTGGGGGCCCAAGACCTGTCGCTCCGCCTGGGGTCCAGCGCACCGCCGCTCCGCCTGAGGGCCCGAGACCTGTCCGCTCCACCTGGGGGTCCAGCGCCCCAGCCGCTGGGGCCCGATGCCTGTCGCCCCTCCTGGGGCCCGAATGACCTGTCGCCCCTCCTGGTGGGGTTCCGGCGCCCGCCGCTCCGCCTGGGGGCCCAATGCCTGTCGCCCTCCTGGGGGCCCGGTGCCCACTGCTCCGCCTGGGGGCACGATAGGCCTGTCGCCCCTCCTGGGGGCCCATGCCGTGTCCCGCCCCTCCTGGGGGCACCGATGCCTGTCGCCCCTCCTGGGGGCCCCACGCCTGTTGGGGGCCCCCCACGCCTGTCCGCCTGGGGGCCCCACGCGCCTGTCGCCCTACGCACCCGCCAGGGGGCCCCAAAAAAACGCCTGTCGCCCCCTCCTGGGGGGTCCCCAACGCCAAAAAGTGCCTGTCGCCCACCCTTAGGGCCCCGATGGGTCGCCCCGCCTGGGCCCGATGCCGGTCGCCCGCCTGGGGGCCCGATGCCTGCTGCTCTCGCCCCGGGGCCCGCTGCCTGCTGCTTTAGCTCCGCCCATGGGCCCGCTGTGCTGCTTCCTGCCCGGGGCCCGCCCCTGCTGCCTAGCTTGCTTCCGCCCGGGGCGCTGCCTGCTGCCTGCCTGGGGGCCCCGGTGCCTGCTGCCCCTAACCCCGCCTGTAGCCCGCTGCCTGCCTGCTTTGCCGTAATCCGATGTGCCTCTGCCCGAGTCCTGCCCGATGTGCCCCGTCTGCCCTGGACCTGCCCGATGTGCCTCTGGGGGTCTGCCGGAAAGTCCGCCCAGGTGTGCCTCTGCCCATGTGCCTCTGCCCGGAGTCCAGGCCGATGTGCCTCTGCCCGGAGTCCAGACCCGATGTGCCTCAGCCCCCCGGAGTCCAGCCCGATGTGCCTCTGCCCGGAGTCCAGCCCGATGATGCCTCTGCCCGGAGTCCAGCCCGATGTGCCCTCTGCCCGGTGTGCCACTGCCCGGAGTGCCTCTGCCCGGAAGTCCAGCCCGATGTGCCTCTGCCCATGGAGTCCAGCCCCCGATGTGCCTCTGCCCGGTGTGCCGCTGCCCCGGAGTGCCTCTGCCCCGGAGTCCAGCCTGATGTGCCTCTGCCCGGAGTCCAGCCCGATGTGCCTCTGCCCGAAGTCCAGCCCGATGTGCCTCTGCCCGGAGTCCAGCCCGATGTGCCTCTGCCCGCATCCCAGCCCGATGTGCCTCTGCCGCAGTCCAGCCCGATGTTGCCTCTGCCCGGAGTCCTGCCCGATGTGCCTCTGCCCGGTGTGCCGCTTCCCGAGTCCTGCCCGGTGGTGCCCAGTCTTTGATATCCCGCCAGTTACCAGACTTGGGCGTGGAACATTTTGCCCAGCTAGACTGTTTGGAGCGTCCTGAGGCCGCTCCTTGAGGGGGGGGTACTGTCAGGAATGGGACTGGCCAGCAATAGTGGGACTCAGCTGCCTTATGAGCTGCAGTACCAGGCTGGCCAGCGGGTGCTCCCAGCAATCAGTAGACCTCAGCAACCCTTGCAGCCACCGCTTGCTCCCCCTGTACCTACCTGCCCAACTGATATTGACCCGGCCTGCCTGACGACGCTTGCATTGTATGTACTGTTATCTGTGGGTGGTTGGTTGGTTTGTTTGCACTGTGTTATGTTTTTAGTATTGCACTGCGTTTATGTTTGTATGGTTAGTGTTAATAAATTACATTGTTTATAACATATCTGAAGTCTGCGTTTCCCTGCGTCAGTCACACACCTCTGGTCATACCCGGGAGCCCTGACAGATGCTGCTACCAGGCTTATCAGCTGGGCTGCTCCTTCCCTGTCATACAGGTGGTCCTCTCTCAGGGGGGTTTCCTCCTTTCCAGCTCCAGGCTCGCAGGCAAGCCCCATCTCTCTAGGCCTCCTGGCAACCTTCCTCCTCTAGCCTCACATCTTCCTTCCACTCTCTTGATCTCCCATTGCACACTCCCCACTACTGAGCAGGCTCTTACACTTTTAAGGGAGTCCCAGCCCCTTGCCAAGCCTTCTGTTGGGGATTGACTGAGTTCCTTCAAGAGTGCAGCCAGCCACTCCTCAGATCCACCCATGCCTTCAAGGCCCTCCTCCAAAAGACTCAGAGCAGGTAAAATTCCAGAGGGGCTGGCCTGCAAAGTCTCTCAGCCTTGACTACAATTTAACCCCTCTGACTATCCCACCCGAGCTGATAAGCAGCTCCTGAACAACCATTGAGGTCTAGCTCCCCCTAGCTAAGAGGGTGATGCACACTTTAAATCTTAAAAGAAAAGTATGGACTTAAAAAATCAATCTGATGCTGCATCTGTTCCCCACCGGTTCTGTAGTGAGAACACCAGCTCTCTGCTCTGCCCCTCCAGCAAAAAGAGCAGAGAGCTGGCTTAGGCTCTCATCAGATCACTGAGAGGCTGAGCTAGGTGCTGGTCCAGGACAATATAGTCTGGACTTTTCCAGAGCCTGGAACGGCATAGTGACATCAGCTAACAGCTGGCTTTAGACCACTGTCTGAAAAGGGGTCACAGAGGTGCAGAGTGAACTGCACTCCTGTGGCCTACAAGAGAAGTACAGACAAAATAACTCCTTCTCGGGAAATTAAGAGAGGAAATTAATGGTGCAGTACATAAAACGCCACATATTTTATTCCGCTTCGTGAGGACGTCTAGTGATGAAATACGTAGGGCGGGGGCTTGGTGGATGTGACGTCAGGATGTTTCCCGAGGCTGTCAGCGCTATACGAGCCGCAGCAAGCTGGGTTCGTTTGTGGTTGATTTAAATGCTGTTTTTGCTGGTGTCAGCTGGTACACCTTGCTTGTGAGTGTACTATCTTGTTTTAATAAAATATGTGGTTTTATACGTACTGCACCATGAATTTCCTCTCTTAATTTCCCGAGTACTGCGATTACCTTATGAAGAGACGGTGATCATACATATGAGTGATTCCATTTTTGCTGAGTGCCCTCCTGCAGAGTATTGCTCCCAGACCATTTTGAATTTCTACAGAGCATCGATCCCAGAGCAATAGCGCTTATGCTGGTTTATAATTTGATCAGCATATAGCTCTGGTGAGTTTATTCATTTTATTTGGTGGTGGATTCAATCACGGTGAATTTGTTGAACACGGATTTTCACATTTATTTATGATCATCACAAATTTCCTTTGGACTTTTCCTACACAAATAATTGGACACACATTTTTTATCAGTTTTATTGAGATATAATTTATATTTTATTTATGATGTGATGGACGTTTTTATTTATTTACAGTGCGAGATATTATGATTATTTTTTAAGCGCATTCCTATGTTTATCTTTATTATGCACCTTTTTTTTTGTGTTAGGTTTGCAGCTTTTTTAGTTTGGTTATATTGTAAGGTATATTTTGGCACTATTCTTATAGAATTTTTTGTATTCTGCTACATGTCTTTGCTGAAAAAAAATCCCAATACATGTAAATTAAATGGTTTACGTGAAAGTTTTAGAGTTTTCAAATGGCAGTATAGATACTGAAATTTTTTTTTTTAATTTCCACTAGTAATGGTGGTGATCAGAGACTTATAGCGGGACTGCGGTGGGCATTCTGACACTGGGGGAGAACTGACTTGATGTCACTGACATCCCCAGTAACACCAATACAGTAATCAGCGCTAAGAAAAAGCACTGACACTGTACTAATGGAACTGGGCAGAAAGGGGTTAACATGAGGGGTGATCAAAGGGTTAACTGTCTGCTGTGTGCTGTTTTACTTTGGGCTGTGTGCTTAACTGTAATCACACTGCCAGGGGCGGACTGACAACTCATGGGGCCCCTGGGCATTAGGGGATCATG